AATATAATTAGAATATCTTTGATAATATTTTCCCGCTGTCATCGAATTTTATGACATTCACAGAGAACGTATTAAAAGACTCAAAAGTGGAAATCGTACTGAAATGGGAAAGCTCAAAATTTAAAAAATTCCGAAACGGACATCTAACAAAAGCATTGAAGACGATAAACAGAGCGCAATTCAGCCTACCACGGGCGGATTCAATTAACAGTACAAGGCACAGGGGTAATAAATTCTCTAAACAATCAGAATTCGTGCCTATAATATGTCCGTGCATATGCGGCCGCAGTTTAATCAACGAATAAACAAGGTGTACGGAATCCCCCGGGACATTTGTATCTATGTGCGGTTTTTTTAATGTTTTTGCACCCCGCATTCACGGGATGGTAAATTTGTCAACCGCTAGAGCGGTCCGATTCTATTTTTTTTAAATATATCGATATAATGACTGTTTTGCTTAACATTATGTTTAAAATTTTTTTAATAATATTTTATATTATATTGCCTATAAATATTTTGATTCCGTTATTCCGCCGGCTTTTTAGCTCATGATTTGAATCAATTATTTTAATTTATTATATATTACAATTATTTACAAATGTTTTTCTTCTTTAACTATAATGAGGTACTTATACGTTTTATGGACCAAACTGAAACTTCTTAGTACTTCACAGATTTATTTTTGTTTTTTCTTTCCAATATATAGTCTGTTAGATGTTGATGAATTAGTTAATAATGGAATAACGAAAATCTTTTTAAAAACTTCATAATTTATATGATAGGTACATGAGAAAAAATTATTTACGATCCATAACCGTCTCAAAATTTTGTTATTTAAAATACTTGGACTCATACTGATTTTTCTCAGATGATTGATCAAAGCAAAATAAATATTATCAAGTATGTATACTTGTCAATGATAATAATTTTTTTCTTTGATATTAATATTATTGACATGTATGTCAATAATATTAATATCAAAGAAAAAAAAAGATAAGATGTTAAAACTTCCGTTAACAAGGTCTATCTCAAGTCTTATTGATTTCTTTAAAATACTACAACTCACCAATTAGCAATATTTCGTTTGAAAGACAACATATTTTCCAACAGTCAAACACCAAGTTCATTGTATTCTTGTTAATAATAAACCTCAACACCCACTATGAAGCGAAGCTACGACACAACTATCAAATATTTATTATCATTCATATAATATAAGTTCATAATATTTGTGAACGGCTCTGATGCTTGATAAATTATTTAAATCGGGTTTAACTAAACTATTTAGTTATTTCACTATTTTAAATAAATTAGGTATGTATAGAAATTTTTTATATGACTCTCGACATTTTTTATATGACGTCGACACTTTACAAACGGCACGGTATATGAAATATTAATCAATTAAAATTAATAAAAATAGAAATAGGTAAATATTTAATGTCATAAAATCTAGACATTACTCTAAAACTCATAGTATAGCTAGTGATATAGAACGACCCACTCACGGCCAGAATGCTGTCAACCGTTTTATTTAGTATTAGTTTTTCACAACTTCCTGCATGAGATGGCTTAAGCTTTCGAAAAATGCGAAATTGACTCAAATTGCTCGTTATTAACGATGACAGATGTCTTGGCGCCACTAAGCACAATATGAATACAACTTTGAATATTTATTATAAGGTTGTTTTTACATTGAGAGCAAGCAGAGGTAAACCAATAATATGCCACATAGAATACAATCTTATTGCTGTTGTTTAGAGTTGATTTTTGAATGTCCATTGTTTTTAGGGAGCAAGATCGGTCGTGATGATATTGGAGTATGGATATGCAATTAGTGACACATTTTTTGTGGTTATTTAAGACGATATAGTTTAATGACTTAAGTTTTTTTAAACAGTTCTTAAATGTTACTCGGTTATAATATAATTAAATGTTAATATTTTTTTATTTAGTATTTCATTCAATCTGCATACGATACGTTAAACTTGTTGGATTGTTGATATCTTAAACAATAGGTTGAAATAAATTATACGAATTGGAGTTTATTACTGATAATCATGTTTCTGCGGTAAAACGCCTCCAATGATATTCACAAGGTGTGAACCACACTGTCTTCAGTCTTTTTAATGCACGGTCTTCATTACTTCCGCTTCTAATTACGTATTATGCATTTCGTGCAGTCGTTTAAAATATATTGAAAATATTATTAATCTTCATAAATTACTATAATGTATAGAATACTTAAACAAGACCAGGATAACGTTAACAATTAGGTAGAGAATTGTTTTTTCTCCCTATACCCTATATAATAAATTAATTACATTTTCATAGAACAGTACCTATCAAATTATTTTTCATTATCTACTATTTTTTGAACAATAAAAATTTAATACTATTTATAAATAATTATATATGTAATTAGCGGTCGCACAACAACCCCTACAGTTCCGAAGCAATTCAAAGCAGTCCTGTCATAAAACTTAACAAGTGCTTATCACTTATTTTTAAGTATAATTAAAAATGCATTCGAGATATCATTTAGCGAAACGTGTCGGCCGCGGGCTGCACGCAATATGCTAAAGAATTGCATAAAAAATTGCATAATTACAACCGAATTTGTATGTAAAAATATGTAAACAACTCAGCGTAGGTATGTAAGTAAACAATATGTAAAAATAATAGTACCTACATCGCGTTTGAAGATTTTCACGTAATAAAAATATATAGGAAACGTTATCATATTTTTCTATCGAGAGAAATAAAATGCGAGAGATTGAAACAGATGGAAATAGGGTCCTGATCTTAATCAGGAGTCCTTTTTTTATTAATTTCAGATTTATTCAGAATATAAAATGTATATAAGGATAAAGATTATATATTATAAATTTTAAGACATTGATTCGAACTTGAAATATACAAAAACAGGTAAGAATTAGTTGTGAAGTGTTCTAATCACCATATAAAGACCTACAAAGAAATAGAGCATACACACATACATATACAAACACACACAAAACATTTATAAGTAGGTACGGTTAATGTAGATAACAATAAGAATAGATAAATTTAAAATTAGTTCCTGTACATATTTAAAGGTGGAAAGTCGGCCTACAGGTTCGTTTTAGATATTTATTAGCTAAAAGCTATTTAAATATATGTATATGGGAATGCCAGATCAAAAAATAATTTCACTATTTAAGCTGTAATTATTTTTCTTTCTTCAAATAGAGGATATTAAGATTAAGTGGACATATTAAAAGAAGAATAGAGAAGAATTAAAGTAAAGTCATTTATAAATTACGTAAAAGGTCTTACTGTAAAAAGTTTCATATCTCAAGTAATATTTACTTCAAGTTCGAAGCCTCTAAAGCCTTCTAAGTTTTAAATATAGTTGAACTTACATGAACATTGCAAAAACTTATTACAGTCAAAAATATGAATTATAAAACATTATAAGAAATATCAGTAGTCAAATCTTAAATTATGTATATTTTTTTATTAAAAACTTTGATGAAAAGATTACGTACTTGAGCGTCGCTACACGGACAGCGCCATCTATGGACGGGTGTCGAAGTTAATTGTGTCGAGGGGTTGTCTACTCCAATAAATATACATACTGTCTATATATCTGAATAGACAATTGAATCGACGGAGCAGACATTTTAACAAATTAAAATATTCATTTCCTAGTGCTACGAAATCATATATTATTATGATTATTATTTAAAGTTTTCATATAAATATAATGGTTGTCTGAAAAGAACATACAAGCGTTATTTCGTTGGTAAACATTCTTATAGATATAAGAATGTTTACCAACTAAATAACGTTTTACTCGCATGAAGTTATTTCGCAGCCCGCATGCTATTGACCTCAGCTGTTCTTCAAAACAAATTTATTGCTTTTCTTAAAACGTAATTCTAAGATACGCTCCATTTGATTTTATAATTCTTATATTAAAGTTTATATACTTATATATCACTCACGTGTATTAATTAAAGGTGAAAATAAAAAAAAGTACCTAAATAAAATTTATGTTTTATGACGGTTTTATTAAGCGGCTAGATTGTAATCTACCATTTATATCATAGCTACAAAGGTTTTAAGTATTTACATTAATAAATAAAAAATATATATTACGAAACTTAAAAAAATCTATATACCTACATATGTATATTATTCATAAGTCATTCTTTTTATTAATATTTAATTCAAACGGCTTTGAAATTGAAATAATATGAACTATTAGGTATAAATATACATAGATATACCTATGTAATTTTTATCATCACTAAATATGCTTAAAAATAAAAGCAATAAGTGATATGTATGAATTCTTATATATAATATATTTTTTTTAATTTAAATATGTGGGTATCTAATTAATTAATTAATTTAATATAAATATCGAGTTCTAAAATGCTTTATAATGTTCAGATCTTAATAGTTATAAGTTATTTTTAAAAACAGTTAATTCAAAAATTATCTCCCAAAAAAGTAGGTCAAAGTCGAAAAAATAAATTAAAAAATTATTTGATGGAATTATAGACGAACATGTTTTATTTGAATATGTATTAAGTACGCATATATAGCTAAGATATGCTTTTACTCACAATTTTTAAACGTTAAAAAATAATATAAACACCAAAATGTATGCTAAGTTCTTTATATTGTTTTGTATCTGTGTGATATACCTGTACATAAAGGTATTGTATATATAGTATAAGACCGCGCGCCTAACGTCCGACCTCCGTCAGATGCTTCTAACATTAATTAGTCATAAAGGTGTTACTGTTATCATCGTCTCTCGGATCACTTGTGTGTTCGGGAATATCAATAAAATATAAAACACAGGTATAAGACGTAAAGTCCATACCAAACTCGCTCCGTGATTCTGACAAGGTGAAACAACTCGTCCCGGGCCAAGCTATTTTTTTGCCTATAGAGATTTGTTTGCTCGTACTCTCGACTGTCTCGCCGAAAACCCATAAACATGATCAACTCAGAGGGACTACTTTTTTCCGTCCCCCCACCAGGCTGAGGCGGCTCCGTTTGATGGGGCGGCGGTTGTTGGTAGTGGGGTCGCTGAAAGCCAATCGAGGCTCGTATACCTCGTCGGAGTTTCGAGAAGGATAGAAAACCTGAACCATCATTGGACGCTGGAGCCGCTCTCCTCCTATGGGTGGGACGAAAATGGCTCTATCCTTCGGCGGTGGGGCGTTTGAATTCTGGCGCGAGCCAGTCTGTGTCGAGAATCGAAAGCGTGAAGGTGTCGGTTGAGTCGTCCGGCATGCCAACAGTGGCTCCGACACACTGACGCGATGGCAGCGCGAGGCGCAGCCGCCGCGCATACGAACTGTGATAAACAAACTTAATATATATACATATACAAGTTAACCGTCCGTGAAAGACTTTGAGAGAGAGTGTAGTGTGAAGCCGCCCTTATGATCCTCCCAATGGCAGCGTACGCACAATTTGGCTATTCGTATCCATCCGCCTCGCAGGTCAGTTGATAGATATTTAATATAAAAATGTATACAAACGTTCACTTCATGGGAAGATCACATTCTGTTGAGTTAAACATTCATTTAAATGTCGTTTATAAAAACATCTGTTAAAGTACAAGTAAAGTGTAAAAATTTTTGTATTTCCACAAACATTTTTATTACAACTGCAAGTACAATTCAATGAATAAATGACTCGTTAATTTTTTCCTAATAGATCCAACAGAATCGACTTTTTGTTTAATTAAACGATCGCCGTCGGTACAATCGTAAGACAATGGCGCCAGTTATAATCAGACGATTTATCTGATTTAATATTTCACGTTACAATGTTTATTATTACAAAAATTTACAATAAACACTTATATAATATAACTAATATTTTGATTTCATTGAATTTATCAATTGTGGAAATACCTTAGAACTATATTATTAAGTTTTAAACAGCCATTATTACATACATACATATACTTAATACAGAACAAAATTAAAGTAGCACATATAATATTCCTTATATCTGTATGTCTAAAATATTAACTTTCGTATATAAACAGTTTTTTCTCTTATAAAATATAAACTCAAACGATTTTTATTAAATATACTAATAGGTATATATTGTACGGATAGCCTAATTAGTATAGACAACAGAAAAACAAAATCGACATGTTATCACTTATCCGATAATGTATCACTGTAATTATAAGTGTTTTAATTATTAATCTTAGTTATTATAAAAATTATTTAATACTAATCATATAAAATATTCATAAATTCATAATTTTAGAAAAGTAGGCAGTTCCGTATATTATATTAATAATATTTCTCATACATTTTATATTATCTATGTAAAGATATGAAAATTTTTCCACTTTGATATAACATTTAGACATCTGAAACTTGAAGCCTTGAATTCATAAATAGAAATAAGTGTATCTATATACAACAAAATTTTGTTTATTATAATAAATTATTATAAATATATGTTAATAATTATACAAGTTTAGCTACATTCTTCATTCCTTACAATACTTATGTGATACACATACCGAAGTGATTCTGGGCAACGTGGACACAACACAATGAATTACTCCATATTTTTGTTAGCGGTAAGTATTATATATTTTATTCGCTTGATAGTAATTAAAAAATAAACCTCCAAGAAGATATCCGTTTCATTATAACAGTCATTTTAATTTGAGTTCAATTAAATAAGAGCAATATACATAAAAAAACAAACATTCCTTTATAATAGCTGTCATTACATCTACATGTTGTGAAGAGATTCAGAAAACCTTATATCTTGGTAACATATTCGCTCTTTGTATATTTCTTACAAGTAGGATGGTTCAAATACAATATTTAAAATGAAAATGTGTTTTATTGAAAAATTCATCCCATTTATAATAATAGTGTCATCGTAATGACAAACAGAATATTATCTCAAAAAAACCAGCGACAGAATCAAATATTAAAAAATAATAAAAATGAGTAACAAAATATCAAACAATTAAATTGCTTTGCAAATAAAATGTTCATATTTCTAAATAAACTAATCGTAAACGAATTGAATTAATATAATTATGTTTATTATATATGCTATATGCATATATTTATACATATATGTATATAAATATATATCATATTATATATGTAAAGCAATAAAATTAATTAAATTTTAAAATCTTAATATTAATTTTAATAAAATACAATCTATTTTTATTCTAAATGAGTCGTTAATTTTTTTTTTTGTTAGTCTCTCATAAATTTTTACGATATTCTAAAATGTATTCAACATATTATATATGTAATGTATAAATACAAACATAAAAATTATTATAATTTAATATACAATATTTGATATGAATAAATATAGAATTTATTAACACCTATAATATTATAATACATATGTATGTATGTCCGACTACCACACATCTTCAAACAGAGCAAGACTATAAAAAACTTGACCTATAACTTATATGGTCAATAATTTTCTGCCACATTGGGCGCCTACAATGCATTTCAAACACCAATACAAAACTGATATTGTATATACGAATAATAAAGTGTTAGTTTCATAGAAACAAAAGTATTTAAAATCATCCCTATACTATGTTTTAATAACAATTATAAATAGTTGATTTTCTAAGAGAATTATGTTAAGAAGTTCTGAATTGTGAGAAATAAATAATACGAACAGATTAATTTCCATACATCCCATCGTCAGTTTCATTAATTCATCTGTAATTTGACAAGAATTACATACCGATTCAAAAATAATGAGATCATTTTAAAATCCCGTCGAAATTAATTCTTGGTCCTTAATGCTTTGTGTGCACATCTGTACTGGGACCTAGTATCTGAACAATTTTCCGTCTAATTGACCGATTCCAATGGACCGTGTGACGTCACGCAGTTAATGCTTAATGGCGTCCTGATATAAAGCATATTCACATTTTGTATTTGTATCCACAACTTGGAACTAATAATATGTACATAAAAGATATATAATTGTAATATATACATATATGTATATAAAAAACTATATTGAATTATATAGCCAATGTTTTAAATGTTGTGTAAGTATCACTTGTAAATTTTATTAAAAATTGTCCATGATGAGCGAGTAGTATAAAATAAAAAGTTTTATAAAAAGAATTACAAATAATTATAAAAATTGCTCCTGCCTTACGACCGCTTTAAGCTGAATAAATCTTAAAAAGGAAGGAAAGCAATTGAACTTTTAACGATCTCATCTCTTATTGTTTATGAAATGAAGACCCTGACTACTGCATTTTTTTTCGATGAACACTTAATGAATTATTTATACAAAATTACAACGCGCCTTGTTCGTGTACAATGTTAAATATTTTTTGCTACGTCCTTTAATATTAATAAATATGTTTCGTAATTCAAAACATTAGTACTGATGAACAGCTACCAGTACTTAGATACCTACATCAAACAGAGTTGTTTTATATACAGTTTTAATCACATTGTAATTGATTCATGGAAGAGGAGATATACTTTCTACAATGACTACAGTTACTATGTTAATAATTCGATGAAACACCTTTAAATCCAACAATTGATTATTTTTACAAACATCTGACAAAAACCGATAAATAAAGCAAATTAATTCATGAAAATCGCTACCAAAGTGATTAACAATCGATTTATAGATAAATGTAAATACGTTATACGGTAAATTCAAACTCAATAGTTTTGCAATCATACCCTTTAGTAATAAAACTTGACGGTAAAGCTTACTCGGTGAAATAATTAATATTATTCCACTCTCATATTGTGTGAGTGCGAACGTTGTGCGTAAAGTGGATCCATTTATCTGGAAATCCGGTGGGAGGTCACAGCAAAAGTCCACAATAAAAGCCGGGTCCGGTAGCACAGTTTAATTGAGTCCTCCGACCTCATAATCCGAACCTCCCGTCCCACCCGCTAAATGTTATTTATAAGCCAAACTCCGGACGCCCGCCGGCGAACCTCTGTATAAATTTTAGCCTATTCCAAACCGCTGAGCCGAGATTCGTTTATTGTTTTTCTCCGATCTAAGTAATTAATTCTCCATTATGCTATTGCTCATACGCTCGTTATTAAACTTGTTGATAATTTAAGATGGAACATGCATCTTAAATTGGCGTCGCGGCCAATTGCTTTTCTCGCAAGTATTGCTTGTGTATGATTGTTATCGATCGATACTCTCCCGTTTAATTTGATCGCGATCGTGATGTACAGCGTGTATCATTCACACAAACATATCAACGTAAGTCATTTATAATATAGGCTATACTACATCTCTATCTGTATCTACATAATTGATTTGATTAGTTTTAGCCTGTCGTTGCTTAGATGCTTTGTGTCCTATAACTGAGTCGTTTTTGTCATATTAAATATGTTATAAATAAATAAATTAAATTGAGATTCATTATTTAATGTTTATTGACTGTATATAATACAATCATACCTTTACGCACACCTGAAGTGTACATTTCAGTGTTAATATCCGTCGGCGATGGAACTGACGAGGCGAATTGTATCGTATGCCATAAATGAATACACATTCAGTATTAACTAGTGGGAATTCGGCTATCGGAATTATCGATGCAATCCACCAGACAATAATTGAATGGAATCGCGTTAAATGACCATTGATTGTTGTTGCGGGTGCGATTGATATTTATCTGCGATCGTCGCCCTGAGCGACGAGGTCCTCTGCACGAATCTAATATTATAATGTAACATATTCACCAGTTTATACAGTGTTAGTCCTTAAGTGAATGTAATAAAGGCGGCAGGTGAAGTGCAGGTGAACGTGTAGTCGTACCGATGTAGAGCGTGTGTCGTGTCACAGTGTCGTGTCGGAGGCGCCACGCACTATCAAAGTCGTGACGATTCAAAACAATGTCAAAATACTCATTTAAAGTTTACCAAGTTGTCGTGTAATAAATATTGTAATGAATATTACTTAGTGGAAGTCAGTAATAAAATTTATATCTTTCTCATTTGTCACTTGTAAATTTATTGTTACTTTGTTACTGCTAGACATTTACAATTTTAAATGTTACTTTGAACAAAATTTACGTTATGTACTTAAACACATTATGTCCTCGTGTTATATAAATAAACCCATTTTTAAAGCTATTCAACATAAAATGTGGACATGAAATAGGTGTAATACGTATAAATGAATTACATATTAACCGATCGTAAATTACATACAAAAGCAAGTTTTTACCCTATGCTTTAAATCACTATATGCGAGGAAATATAAATTAATTATAACTAACAAAGTATCGAGACAGAAAGAATCGTACAAAAAGTGCAACAAACTGTTGAGTTTATGTGTTGCTTTATTACGAACGTGGCTACGTGGGGCTAGTTCTGTTTAACGAAGATCACAATTGACTTAGAAAGATCCTATTGAAGACCAATTGAGGTCCAGGGTTGGGTAAATTTAGTATTTAGGTTTCAACACCAAGGTTTGA